TATGGAGAAGATGGATTGTTTATATTCAAAAGAAGCATAGAGTGGTGGAATATAATTTAGGTTTTTAGAAAAATTTTTCTTTTCTTTTATATATCTTACCTACTCATGTAGAATAATATATTTTGTGGAGTTAGAGATGTTAATATTTGTTTACTTATATCTGAATATTATCCTGGGATTAGGTTTGGGAAGTCCGGGGTGGGGGTGGGGGGGGATTTATATAGCATTGTGTAGTATTTGTGGAAAAAAAAATTTTTATGTTGAAAAAATAATAAAATTTTATATTGAACTTGCCCTCTGAGGGAATTCTTCAAACAAAGGATAGATCAACAGATCTAGATGACCTCTAAGGTCCTTTCCAAAGGCATGATACATTTATTTACTTATGTCCTTTACCTTCTATCTCAATCCTCATAGACTTTCATGGTTTAGAGATATTAGGTGTCTGTATCTGATACCAATATCTTCATCAGTAGGCATATTAAGCAATTGTTCAGAATTCCACTTTGGCATAAGATGTGTATGTATAGCCTTATGAAAGAAATTAAACTAGAGTACATGTCATTAAAGGACAAGAAAAAAGGTAATTGTATTTTGATCTATGCTTGAAAATTAGGGCTATTATGTCTAGGTTGCAAAAGTCAGATTAGATTAGATGATAGTCAAGAATTAGTTTTCTTTATCTCTTTACCGCCAGCAGGAGCCTGTCTAGATTTTGTCCTTGTAGCCTTCCTACACATGATGGAAACCTTATATTTAAGGCTTATCACCCTAATAATGATAGAAGGCTTGTTTATTACAAGTCCCCCCATGACTTATCCAGAATGTTTTCTAATGCTTGTTGTTGTTATTGTTGTTGTTGTTTGCTTATTGATAGTCTAATCAAACCTACCAAAAATTTAGATTTTGTCAGCATCTCCATTCTTTACCACAGCCTCAACAATGTTCATAAAAGATTGGCAACATCATTATGCAATCCAGAACAAAGGGAATGGCACTATTTTTTTTCAATGATTTCAGTGATTAAAATACTGACAAATTGTTGTATCTTGTGGAAGTCCAACAGTCTAATTTTCAAATTCTCATGAGAGTCTTATTTCTTTACTGTTATCCTGCCTTTATTATATTTTTAACTAACTCAAGGCAGCAGGCTTACCTAATAGTCTTTCTTACTACAACTTTCCCCACAACAACAATCCTGTGAGGTGAGTTGGGCTGAGAGGAAGTGACTGGCCCAAAGTCACCCAGCCAGCTTTCATGCCTGAGGTAACACTAGAACTCACAGTCTCCTAGTTTCTAATTTCATGCCTTAACCATTAGACAAAAACTCACAGGAGAAATATGCCATATTCTTGTAATATAAGACTGGGTGATTTCATAATATTTGGACCATGTTTAATTTTTAATTAATTATCCATGTGGGATTCCTCATGTTCATCTTGAGCATGGTATCAAACTCGATCGTGTCACGTGACGTATTGTGACATATCGTGACTTTTTTTGCTTTTGCGGAGCCGGAGTGGGAGTGGCCTGTGCATGACGCATCCGGCACACAGGCTGCCAGTTTGACACCCCTGGTGTAGAGGAATCAGAAATGCCTTGTTGTCAACCCTTGGGATGGATAACCTGACTTCACTCCAGTGAATGCATAAAGTCAGAAGAAAACAAGAAACCATTTCCTGCAGGAGAACAATTCCTCTCGTCCTGACACTTGGAGAAGAAAGATTGAAAAAGAGACAAACAAGAGAGCACATAATATATGCTTCCCAATGAATGAGACCTCTTATATACTTGTCCCAAAAGGTACTAGTATTTGTGTGTTTTTGTGCATGTTAAATACAAACAGTATTTTTTTGTGTGTGCTTCTGTGTGGCTTTAGAAACAGGTCTATTGATACTTTGTTCTGCCAAACAGGGAGAACACTGAATGATTTGACAAGGGCATTGCCTTGCCAAGAGCTTCAGCAATACCATTCTTGGAAAAGTTATAGCTCTGGATTCTCTGTTCTTAGCATTGGCTAAGTTCAGGTATTTCAAAATGTTTTGGTTGTAGTTACAAAACAGGTGACATCAATGATAAACATGTCAAACTAGTTTATACATCATATGAGGTGTTATCTTCATGTTTATTCATTCTGGTGAATTAACTTAGAGATAATTATGGAGTGATAATGGGGTGAGTTCCTTTGACCTAGAATTCTTATCTCTGCTAGCAAAACTGTCATCAACATTCCATATGCCCTAAAAGCTCTTAACTCCTCTTTAATTATATAAATTTTATTTTACTGTAATTTGTGAGTATGTCGACCCGCTTTTTTTCTAAGTTCTCTTTTGCTTCCAAATGTTTAGGTACCAAACCTTTTAACAAGTAATGTTGATGGAGTCACACCTGAGATTCTGGCCATATCCAGGAGAATCCTGAACCAAAGAAAATGAAATCAATTGTCTTACCCAAACATGTTGGTTGTGGCCTGACTCAGTTTCATCACCATTTATGTTTCCATTGCTCTGATTGCTGCTACTTCTTCCTCCTCCTTCAGAGTGCATGAAGGAGCAATCATCAACACCTTTGTTTTGCATGATTCTTTGTATTAGCTCTTTCTTGCTCAGGGGTGTCCGGATTATTTTTAGATTGCTGGTATAGATGATAATCTTCCCAAAATCTAAAATGCGGGGATGCTGAAATGGAATAGTATATGTAGATGTTTAAATTTTTAGAAAGACGGATGGTCTTTTTAATGAGCTCCAGTCCATTAGTAATGAGCAGATTGCGTTCTTTCATTGCCCAGTAAAGTCAAGAGAAAGTCCTCCCACTGATTTGCAAATCTTATATATTTGCAAAAGCTCCAACATGTCCAGCCTACCAGACTTCTCCCCAAGTTGAATAAAAAGCCTGACCTCCTCAAATGGGAGTAAAGAAAGATGGAAATTGGCTCAGTCAGAAGGCCTTACTAAAGTCCATTCTTTCTCATTGCACAAAGAAAGTTATCTGGATCATTTATGGATTACATTTCCAAATCAGCTGAATAATAACAATAGCACTTAGACTTATATACCACTTCACAGTGCTTTACAGTCCTCTCTAAGCGGTTTACAGGGTCAGCCTATTGCCCCCAACAATCTGGGTCCTCATTTTACTGACCTCAGAAGGATGGAAGGCTGAGTCAACCTTGAGTTGCTCAGAATCAAATTTCTGGCGTGACAAGTGAGTTAGCCTTCAGTACTGCATTCTAACCACTGCGCCACCATGCAGTGACAGGTCTTCTCATTGCTGTACTGCTTAATTGACTGATATATATTATAGAAGGAAGGAAGGGAGGAAGGAAGCGAGGGAGGGAGGGAGGGAGGGAGGGAAGGAAGGAAGGAGGGAAGGAGGGAGGGAGGGAGGGAGGGAGAGTATGAGAGAGACAGGTAGAAGGAAAGGTGACCCCCATATCTTCACACTGTGGGTTCACCCATTCCTACTTTGGACTCTGGCATCTAACCAACTCCTAACCATCACTGGTTACTGATATGCAACCCCAACGAGTTCACAGTGAGAAATGTGTCCTTCAGGCTGAAAAACAGTTCTCCATTGTTATCTAAGTCCTACATGGATGTCGGTTTTGCTAATAAGAAATGTGATTGAATAAAATGCTTTATAAATCATTGCATTCTCATTTCTATTCCTTCAGAGTTCATTGTCGGCTTCTATACTTTTTATTATTTCAGCAGGTTTACTCAGCAGTTGGATTTTAGTGTAGTGCTTTCTGTTTCTGTTTGTTATAATAAAAGTGCTTGCAAATGGCATCCAGAGCTGGATTTAATTTTTTAAGGCACTATATACTAGTTCCAATTGTCTGATTTCTAATTTTAAATGAATTGCTACCACCACTACTGAACAGTTACCCATCTTCCATAATTTCAGAACTAGAATGAAGAATCCCAGTCAATAGCGATGAAATCCAATCTCTTAAGAACTTATGATGATTTTGTTTTTGCGTTCTCAGAATAAAACAGAAGGTTTTGAACCACCACGTATAGCCAGTAGATCCATTTTGATCTGAAGCATTACAAGTTTCAAAAATGAATAGACACTGAAATACTATAGTGAAATATACGAACATTTGATTCGACAGAATTATCAGAATCAAACTCTAGGAACCTGTTTGGATACTACTTAGCCTACTAAATTCCAAATCTTATCACTGTAAATCATCCATAAATCTTCAAAGAATTGTCAGTTCAGCAGTATGAATATGAGGTTAGGGCGTTAGGCTATTTATCCATTTGTAACCATATTATCTCTTCCAGAGAAGCAGAGAAAATAGATCTGGCTTTACTGGTAGTTCTCTGGAGGGTTACAGTGGAGTGACAAAGTTTTCTTTCAACTAATCATTTACCTATAGAAGCAATAAAATCCTTGCCAGCCTACCTCTTTCATCTAAACTATTCTACAGAAATGAAAAAAGGAGGGGTGAAGAGAAACCAGAAGTTGATTTATATAATGTAGGACTTTGAACACTATACAGCTCTAGCATTCAAAAACTGATTATTTTTATTTTTATATTTCCACCAAGCTCGGATAGGTCTTATGTTTCTTATAAAAAAAGGAGAACAGGCTAATAAAACACGTCCTACTAGTTTGAAATAAGACCATACGTGGTATACTTTGACAATCAACAGCTCTCCAGAACCCAAGTAAAGGTCTTCAATTTATATTGCTTTTATTTTCATCCTTTACACTCACAATATAAAAATGAAGTATGTGATCTTTGGCTTGTGAAGCATAAATTCCCTCACAGAGATATGGAGCTTCCCCATAACATAATCTATTTTCTGCTTGGACTTCCAAATTTGTGCTGGTTTGAAACAATCTATGAAGTTAGCTAGAATATATAACTACTACTACATTCATGTCAGGATCACTGAAGTGTTTCTGGGTTGAAAAGATTGAACGGTGACATCATTGTTGCCCAGGGGATGCCCAGATGGGGGCTCCTTTCATGTCTCTGTTAAGTTGCCCACCAAAGTGGTATCTGTCTCTCTATTTGTAGTTGCCTGCTTTCAAACTGCTGGGTCAACAGGAGCTGGAGCATTTGACCGGAGCTCACCCTGTTCCACAGCAGGAACTGGGTCTCAAATGCGAACCTGCCGAGCATCCTAACCTCAGGAGCCACCGCGCTCCTATGACTATATAAAGAAATAACTGAGGCAAATGATTAATATTTCATTCAAATAATGTCTTACTAAACATGACTAAACATTACTTACTAATACTTTACCAAATTAATGTTTTATTAAATTTTACTAAATATTACTTACTACAACATTACTTACATTATGACCATCAGCCTTGTAGTCATTTAGAAGGGAAGAGTTACTTGTGAGGGTATATTTGTTCCCTTCTCTGAATACACTGATCCTCTGGGCATTCAGTTTAGCTGATGGACAAAAGCTGTGTTCTGGGTTTTCTCTAATCTCCAATAAATTGTCTCGGGGTTTAGAATTCCAGGACTGACAACTATGAGAGCAGTCTTCTGCTGGGATTTCAAGCTCTTGTCCATCTTCATACACTTGTTTTAAGACTCGACCACTGTAGGCTGAGGAAATTTTGAATCTTACTTTTCGGGATCTTGTATCGTGCTTCTGGTTGAATTTCTTCTGGGACTCATCCATAGAGGTTAGTTTTTCACAGAAATTCCCAGGAATTTGTCCAGCAGGGATAGCTTCTAAGGCACCTAAATGAACAAACATAGAGAGAAAAATATACAAATAAATAAATAAAAAGAGCTAGGCAATATATAATTCAAAAGCTCTATGGGTCCTCTCACATTACAGCTTAAAAGGACACCTCGAGATTAAACATTGATAGAGCATCACACAAAGAAATCGTTGCTGCAAGGAAACAGAAAGAGGAATTTATTCAGGGGACCGGGGCCTCTGCCTATATATATATATTGTAACTTTGTACTGTATTTTAAAGGATAACATTTAAAGAGGATTTATAGCTAAAGCAAAAGGAAATACACATGCAGGTGGGCACACATTTTATGTACCTACCACACTTTTAGCTTATATTTAATGGCTAAGTTGTTCACCACTTCTAAAATGAATTAAAATAGCAGATAGCAATGTGCTAAAGAAGAAGAATCAACACTAAACAATTCATTGCTACAAATAATCCTCTTCAGTTTTACCGAAGGAGTAATTAAGTTCCCTTAGATGTAACAGAATCAAATCCTAAGTGACTATGGACTGCATTATAGCTGTATATAGTAGGAGCAATAGTAATTTAATTTATAGTTCTACCTCAATTTTTTCCCACGAGTCTCCAAGTGGCAGCTGACATTGGGGAAAAAAAGGTAGCTTTTCCTGAGAGCCAGGATTAAAAGATGGGAGTGCTGCCGTAATTGGTTCTCTGAGCTGGCTTTACTCAACTCATCTCTTTCTCAATAGTGAAAAGCACAGAGTTGGTGGAGCTTCATGAAGCTAGCATCCGGAGGTTCTTCCACAGGGAGAAATTTGAATGCCTGCTTCCCAATATCTATCTTAATGCATTCCCTAATTATGGGCCCTGATAATGGCAAACAATAGGAAAACAGAGCTATACTCGAAGGCAGTAGCACTTTGAGCTGAATTCATCCACTCCCTCCAGAGTAGGGCTGACCTAAGACCATTTTTCTCTCTGAAGCAAAGGACAAGTTGACACATTCTTCCATTCCATGTACAAAAGGTGGATGGCCTGGAAGCCAAATGCATCATTCTGAGGGCAATAGCCTAGCTTGGGATGCTGTACCATTTATTTATTTATTTATTTATTTATTTATTGCATTTATATCCCGCCCTTCTCCTTACGGACTCAGGGCGGCTGACAATTGAATAAAATACTAACATATATACCATCAATCCTTGCCAGCTGAGATAGCTTCCATTTTTTGCCTGCCAGTAGAGCCATTGCTCAAATGGACACAGTTCTGTGGGCCTATTCCACTAATCTTTAGGATGGTAGAGTTATGCCCCTCTTGTCTGTAAAAGATTAGATTTTCACATGCATAAAACAAGTGTTCTGCCGTTTTTAATTATTTACACTCAACAAGCAGCAGTTCCATAAGTGTAACAACCCACCCTCAAATCTATGTTTCTATTTTAGGACATTTTTATATAACCTCTTTCACTCACTGGCAAATGCTCTAGTTTCCTGTCTTTTTAATGTGACACCTACACACGGATGAATAAGAATCCCATGTTTCCATTTCAAGCCATAATCTTGAAGAGAATAATATTCCTCACATTTATCTTTTTGGAAATATCCCAGGGTGGTGTTGGAAATAATAAGTAGGTCAAGACTCCTCCTAAAACATATTTCTGCCTCAACTTTCAGTCAAGAACCCCTAAATTAGTTTCCAAAATTTTGGAAATTGTTCATAAGGATCAGTATGATGTAATCCTTTTCTTTTTAAGATTAATTGTAAATTTGGAAGATACAAGTAAGTGACATCCCTTGTTTCCTGCCAATTTTCCATGAGAACAAAAATAGAATATGCCCATGTAACACTTATTTATTGGTAGGAGAATAAGCAATTATTTATAGATCTATAATTTGTAATACCTTGTAACTAGCATCCTACATAAACTGTTACTGGATATCTGATAGAAAAAAAGATTGCTCAGATTTTCTGAAAGATAAGATTTTGCCAATTTATTATGTAACTGTATATAATTTCCCAGTAGAAATGCTATATATGTTTCTTCTTTCTGTCTTCTATTACTTGATAGTGATATTACTTTACACTGAGTCCAAATAGCTCTTCCCTTCTAAAGTTATGTAAAAAAAATATCTGTATTTCTCTGGCCTCCCCAATTTCAGGAACATGTCAGTGCCACCACCTAAATGTATCCCCACAATTTATTAGCATACATTTTTTTTTCACAAATGGCATTACAAACCTATAAAAGTCAGTATATGCAGGTAGTCCTTGACTTATGACTACTATTGGGACCAGAATTTTCATTGCTAAGCAAGACCTTAAAGGAGATGTGCCCAATTTTATGATTTTTTTGCCACAGTTATTAAGCACATCTCTGCAGTTGTTAAGTGAAACATATGGTCCTTAAGCAAATCTGGCTTGCCCCATTGATTTTGCTTGTCAGAAGCTGGCTGGGAAGGTCGCATACGAAAATCACAAGACCCAGGATGCTCTAAATGTCATGAATATTTGCTGGTTGCCAAGCATCCAAATTTTGATTATATAAGTGTGGGAATGCTGTAGCAATAGCAATAGCACTTAGACCTCTATACCACTTCACAGCGCTTTACAGCCCTCTCTAAATGGTTTACAGAGTCAGCATATGGCCAACAATCTGGGTCCTCATTTTACCGACCTCGGAAGGATGGAAGGCTGAGTCAACCTTGAGCCAGTCAGGATCGAACTCCTGGTGTGTGGGCAGAGTTAGCCTGCAATATTGCATTCTAACCACTGCACCACCACAGCTCTCTAAGTGTGAGCATTGGTCATAAGTCACTTTTTCAGGGCCATTGTAACTTCAAATGGTCACTAAATGAATGCTTGTAAGTTGAGAACATGATACATTAAGTGATATTGGACATTAAACTTAACATTAAAAAAATAGCAAAATAACTTTCTCTTTACTGGAAGGCATTGGGAATATTTTTTAAAAAAAAATATAGCTAAAATATATTCCAACAATTAAGTTGCTGTGTGCATAAAAATGTATGTAGAAAATTTTGTGTTTTTCCAGCATTTCCATGGAAAAACCTTATGTGGTATAGCTTTTGAGATGTCTCTGGCTATAGATTTCCTACCTTATTCATTTTGTAATTCAAGTCTATCTCCAAATTGTTTCACTTAATGCTATCTGAGTTCAGAAGACTAGTGTTCCCCCAACCAAAAATAATGTTTTCTAAAAAAACCCGCTCATGAACCCTGAATTTGATTTTGCAAAGGAGCAGGGAAGCTTTCACATGTCAGAGCTGCACTTTCTCTGTTTATTAAATGTTTTGATTATATTATAAGGATGAAACAGTTATTTTATTCTTTTTTTTTACCTCAAACAGTAAAAATCATCGTAGTCATTTTGATGAAAAACCACTCAGTTGCAGCACTGCAACCATAACTGACAAGCATGTAGTCTTCACTTATCTACTCTTACCTTAGCAGACCTGTGGATTGGTGTTATTAAAAGTCACAAGTGACTAGTGCCCTAAAAAATCTAGATTACTCAGATCATGGATGTGAAAAACACTCCACAATGGAATGTATTAGCAACATAATCTATGCCAGGGGCCTTCAAACTTGGCCCTTTTATGACTTGTGGACTTCAATTCCCAGAACTCCTCAGCCAGCATGCCTGGCTGAAGAATTCTGTAAGTTAAAGTCCACAAGTCACAAAGGGCCACGTTTGAAGACCCCCTGATCTAGGCATTTAATTTTATAAGTAGCTTTCCACAACCTGGTGCTAGGTCTTTAAATATCCAGTCAATGAAACATGTTTGTTGGAAGAGCACTCTAGAAAAGAAAGACAAATGGAGAGAGAGATCATCACATTTTATCTAAAGATACACTTTTTGAATGCACAACAAACTGAACCATAATTTTTATCCGGATGTAGCAGTCAGTTGTGTTGTCCTGTGATTGCCAAGGGCCTCTTTAAATGGGAGTGAAATATTATCTTCCCACAGCACACCAGTATTGCAAGATAATTCAGCGCTATAGCAATTTCTGACAGAAGCAAAGTGTTCCTGGCACTGAACCCAGTTACATTGGAGTTCCTTGCACGTCTCTCAACATATTCGAAGCTTAAGAGTTGTGATTCACTTCAAGAAAACTGGGCTGCTGACTTGCCCACAACTACTGCCTGCTGTAGTGTATTTTGAAAATGTGCTCTCTGTGACTATTATCCTTTTTTCATGATTTATCATGGGGACATGTTGTTCAAAGTGTTGGAACACACTGGAAAAGAACAAAATAAGCATTACTGTAACATTGTGAGAACGTCCATTTAACACTTTTAATTAAAAGTTTGTCCTCATATATCTATATAAATAAAAATATAAATGTTCGTTTGTTCAAAATCTTAAATCTCCGAAAGTTCTTCACTGATTGCTTTGAAATTTTGACACAATGTTGCATTCGAATACGCGCGTGTTTTTATATACCTACTATTATATAGATGTCACACCTGTGACAGGTAAAAACATGCTTTTTTTGAAAAACAGCGCCACCTGTTGGACATAAAAGCAACACACGCTACGATTTTACGATTCCATATTACAAACGTGCGCTTTCTCTTTTCTTTCTTTTCCATTTAACCAGACTGAGCCACAGCAATGCGTGGCCGGGTACAGCTAGTTGATAATAAAAACATCTTTTCCTGGTGCTGTTGCAGGTGTGGCAAGTTCATATAAAGTTGGAGGTATTTCTTAGTTCTGTAGGGGGTGATTGCCTGCTTACTTTCCACCTTTTCTAAAAACAATTCTGAAGTGCCAAATTGGCATTCTGAGAGTTTTATCATTGCCAATCCTGTTTCACATATTATGCAGAGATAAATATAAGTCTTCTATTGAACAAATACCAAGGCAGAAGAGCAACCAGTTATGGCATCCTGATAAGTAGGCCATCCATTCTTCCACTCATCACATTTATATCCTGCTCATC